AGTACTTGACAAGGTTCCAGTGTCTGTGGGTATTGTGTGTTCCCTACCTAGGCTCTGCCTAGAGGGTTCTTACCCTATATCTTAAATGGGGCCGGGCTATTGATATCGCCCCGGGCGGTTCCCCCAGTTGCGTCCCCTTAGCTTAGCGTTGCTTACCTCATCTTAGCTTAGCCTAGCTTAGCTTAGCTTAGCATAGCTAAGCTTAGCCTGGCCTACCTTAGCTTAGCTTAGCCTAGCCTAGTTTAGCTTACTTAGCTTAGCTTAGCTCAGCCTTAGCTTAGCTTAGCGCGGCGCAGCATTAGCATATCATAGCATAGCATAGCAGAGCACAGCGCAGCATAGCATAGCGTGGCATAGCATAACGCAGCATAGCATAGCATAGCATCGCATGGTACAGCGCAGCATAGCATTGCATAGCACAGCACAGCATAGCATAGCGCAGCATATCATAGCATAGCATAGCAAAGCGCAGCATAGCATAGCACAGCGCAGCCGATGTAGGTGTAGGTGTAGATGTAGATGTAGATGTAGATGTTGGTGTAGGTGTAGGTGTAGATGTGGATGTAGGTGTAGGTGTAGATGTAGATGTAGATGTAGGTGTAGATGCAGGTGTAGATGTAGATGTAGATGTGAGTCTCGCTGTTGATGTTGATGTAGATGTAGATGCAGGTGTAGATGCTAATGTAGCTGTCGGTGTAGATGTAGATGTTGCTTTCCTAGATGCTCCAACTCCTAGGTAGGGTCGCACTGAGATAATTCTTCAATAAATCAGATTGCCAGGTGTTCGACCGAAGAGATTGACCAATCTCTGCAACGCCAGGGGATTAGGTCTGACATGCTCCGGACCTCCCCCACTTTCCACGTTCCACAAAATCAGTCAAAGCGGATGTGCTGCACTTTGGAAGCGTTCTCGCGGCAAGATTACTATTCTTCGGCACCCGCGTGGGGGCGCGCACCACGAAAACCACGTCTGTCTCGGCAAGCGGCCCTAGAAAATTTGAGCGTCACTGGTTTGCCGCGGCATTGGCTATTTCCAGTCTCTTGGACATCATGGCTATGCTGTGAATGCTGTTGGTGACCTCAGTTGGAAACAGAACTGCGACGGCCTACTTGGACTGGGCCGGCAAGGCGAGGCCACAATCGCGACGGCGGCGGGGGCGACCCCCACGCGTGCTCCGATGCGGGGAGACCCACAAGCTGCCCAGCCGGTGTTCCTGGGAGCGAAGCTTCCCTCAAATATTCCTCAACACGCTCTGGCACCTTACCGGCTCGACATCCATTTCGTCGGAATGCATCGCTAGAAAACGTTATCTTGACCTGGCTCGAGGTCCTGGACGTCCGAAGGGATCGACGCCAACGCAGAGGCCCGTCGCAGCCCCTGCGCGACGCAGACCAGACCAGAGCATAACACATCGGCGACTACGACAACTACATCGCATGTTTTCAGAGCAGCTACGACAGGGCACGCCTGGCGCGGGCGCGCTCCCAACCAAGCACTTCTCGCGCTTCGCCACGGCCGCCTACGACGGCATTGCGGGGGCTAAGGCGGCGGGCGTACCTACATATTCTGACGCGTTGCGGTGGACCAGTTCTTCCATTGCAAATGAGAACGCCAAGCTTCTGACGGCGACCCAGCGTTCATGGGGGTGAAAATTTGCTATGCGGTCCTCGGAGGCGCGATCCGTGGCCACGCCTCTGCTCAAGCTCGTCTTGGCCTCATCCACCTGTGGAGTCTCCGACATGCGCAAGCAGTGGGAATCGCAATGGTGACCACAAACACAGCATCGTGACCCTGAAGGCTGTCTTGACAGGTGGCGACAACATGCTGCAGCTGCATCGCCCTCGCAGCCCGGCAAACCTCACGATTGGATCCCGTCCAAGGACGCCGTCTTGAAGGCTGTCAGGCGCCCCGAGGGCGGCGCTGGATTGGATGGCTGGCCTTTCAAAGAAATGCGTATATTGGACAAGACATTCCCTGATAGCATCGACGAGCTTTATGCCTCGTGGGTCGATGCGACGGCCCTGCGCGCGCGACATTGCGGACGCCCGCCCCAAGACGCACTTCAGAGCGTTCTCTCCTGGAGGATGGCTGGCCCGCCGAAGGGCGAAGGGGGGAGAGGGCGCGAGACCAATTTCAGCGGGCAGTGTCTTGTCACGCACATGGCTTCGGACATTGGCAGCTGCTGCTCCGACGCCGCCACAGAATCGATGGGCCAACCGCAAAGGTGTCTCAGTCGCCCGCGCGATCAGCCAGTGGCCATATGGTTGTGAGATGGGCACGAACGGATGTGGATAGTAATCGTGAGATTGCGGGTGCCAGCATAGAGGCTTCAGGGTTTCCAACAGCTGTCCGATTCACGCGCGCTGCCGCTTGGGCTGGGCCCAGGCACTGCACCATAAACGGGAAGATCGCAAGGCCCATCGCTAATCCATGTTGCGGTCTACCGCAAGGCGATTACGCGGCTCCCTCGGCGATGCTATGTACGCTCACCTCGTGGCAACCGCGCAGATCGTCAGGGCGTTTCATGGGCGACCGCTACCTGGTAGCATCAGCGCGTGAGACCCTTGAGGAGGGACTCAACGACACGAAGGAGTTCGACGCAGCCATCGGCTACTGCGAGAACCAGAAGAAGCGGCAGACTTGGACGGATCAGGATGACCCTCCTCGTGAAGTTGAACATCTCGGAATCTTGGCTTGCCCTACTAACGTGGAGTACGACATCAAGCCCCGTCAACGCTGGCAGAAGGCAATGAAGGCCATCGACATCTTGGGGCTTGGGGTCGATCCCAGGAAACTGTATGGTCCGCACACGTCTGCCCTTCGCCTACATGCGACCGTTGTGGACGTGGGCTGCGCCCATACTCACGCCGCCTCCTCGTGAGGCGATCAAGCTCCTGGCCAAGGCGGTCTGGAGGGCGCAAACTACCTGGTGGTGTTTGGGACGATGGCGGTGCCAGAATATGTGGCTGCATCCTGTCATATCGTGTTCTCTGTTGGCGTTCGAGAAGTTGAGAGATGAACGTATGACGGTCGTCTTTCATTGAGCATTCGATACAGCGACACGCTAAGGAGTTGGGATTGACGTGTGTCCGATTATCCGAGGAAAGAGGAGCCCTTGTGCAGGCGGGCTCTTGTGATGACCACCGCGTGCACAAGCTCGTATCAAGCGCCCTGGACGAGAACAACAGGTTCTGGACAGGTACGGTCAGAGCTCAACACTTCTTGCGCGGCATCGCGCGGATCATGTGTATGCAGACGGTTGTTCGCAGTCGGAAAGATGTCGAGGAGGTCGACGACGTCGACGTGGAGGGATGTAGTGCGAAGTCCTTCGCCAAATGGTACCGAGGTCTCGGGGAGCAAGAGCGGTTTGTTCAGTCTATTTATCGGAGTGACGCTGCCACGTCCGAGACGGGGAGACAGACTGGACGCAACTGTAAGTTCTGCAACGACATGTGGCCCTCCATGAGACCTCGTGGTGGACTGTCCGCGCTTCTCGAGTCTCAGAGAACGCTTAACCACGTAGTATGTGCTACCACCACAATGTTGGACGTCTCTTCCGAAAGTTTCTGCCAAGAGTGGGTGGATTGATTACGTTTGCTGCCGCTCCAGCAGGCAGAGACCGTTCCAGAATGCTGATTGCACTATGCTCCATGGGCGTTGTCGTGGGTTCTGGTTTGGATAAGATACTGCATGATGCCGCTCCTCTTCCTCGATCGGGAGCACGTCGTGCTGGCATGTAACTTTCACGCGTGGGCCCCCCACAATTGTCAGGGCGTTCCACTTCACCATTCTCGTCATCAACGTAGCCACGGTCGGCACGTGGGGGCCGTTTTCTTCCTGGCGCTTCAGTGGCAGCCTGGGCAGGGCCCGCGGTCGAGGAGGCTCCTGTCCCTTGGTAGTTTGTCCAGGCGCTACTGCGGGCGGGCCTGGGGCTGGGAGGGTGACCAAGGTATTCGCTTGCGGGGGTCCTGGGGGACTTCCGTGCCCGCCTGTCATTGGATTCAGCCGCAGTGTTTGGCTTGTCAGGGGGACTGCCGCTGCGGCGGTCGCTGGCGGGAGGCCTGCCCGCACCAGCGCCTGCCGCTCCCTTGCTAGTTGAGGGCCGTTCTAACTGCGGGGGATGGGAAGACGCATGCGCGGTTCCATGGGCGTCGACGTTACCTGGCGCAGCCTGCATGGGGTCTGCCGTGCTGGGTCCGAGTCCGGGGTCTGGCTGGTGTTCAGTATCTAGGGCGTCTGCGTCCTGCGGGCTGCCGTCGCAGTGGTCTGGTGAGAAGTCAACCTCCGACACGAGCTGAGATCGGTGCCCGCTAGCAGGGGGTTCTGGGAGTGCAGCGGCCTCGGCGCTGCCCTCGTTTGCGTCCGGGCGCTGGGGAGCCGACGGGGCAGCTGCTTGCGGGAGGCGTGGGCAGCATATCATACCTAGGGGTTGTTTTCGCGGGCGGTGTGGGCCCGGCGGGTTCTGTGCCCAGCCACGTGACGGACGCCACGTCTGTTGCAGGTTCGCCGATCTCCAAGTTGGGGTTGTCCTGGCTTCTGCTGCCTGGAGTTAGGCTGTTGCCGTCTTTGTGCCGCACACTGGCGTGCGGCGGCGCTCTGGCTGGGTTCGGGGTGCTGGTCCTGGTGGCTGGCGCCCCTATTTTGTTCGCTGTTGCTTTGGAGGCGGTTCTCGGGGCCGCTGCGGCCCTGCTAGGGAGGGCTTCAATCGGGGCCTGATAATAAGTGCGCGTCGGAACAAACGGCGCGGCGACATATGTGTGTGTGTGTGCGTCTGTGTATGTTTGTCCACAGCCTGCAGAGTTTCCAGAAGACCGATCCCTTCTGGAAAACGTAGGCGGTGGCTTCTCATCGGTCGGAAGAATTGGACAGAATAACAGCACTGAGTAGGAAGGCGTTGGAAGCAGATTCGGTGTCCGCCCAGGCGAAGCCAGGGACAATCGCTCGACCCTGGAAACTGGAAGGCGCCTGAAGCAGATTGGGACCTGGGAGCCTGAAAATATTCGCTTTCACGGCCGATGGGTGTAGACAATTGCGCGCCCGCCCTGGAGAAGAGACTCGAGCCCCGACGCCGCGGCGGGCCACTCCGCAGCCTGGTGCGCCCTCACAGCGAGAACTTGGTGCTGTCCCCCGGCGCAGCGAGCGGGCCGCCATCAGCCTGGTGCACTCCTTCTGGAGGGGCCGTGCGGCCAGCTCGCCGCCGTCGGCCGCCGCTGGTCGCCGCCGCCGCCGGTCGCCGTCGCCAGAGTCTTCGGCTTCGGCCCTGGGAGCGGATGAGGGGCAGGATGGGGGGCCAGAGGGAGGAGGAGAGGGAGGGAGGCGGAGGATCATCCTCTTTCACATCCTCCTCCTCCTCCTCCCTCCTGCTCCCTCCTGCTCCCTCCTCCTCCTCCTGCTCCTCTTGTTCCCTTCTGCTCCCCCTTCTCACCTGCTCCCTCATCTCCCTCCTTCCATGCTCCTCCTCCCCCCTTCCCCCTTCCCAACCTTTCTCACCCCTCCCTCTCCATTGCGCGCCAATCCAAGAGAAGTGGAAGCTGATGCATTCCCCCGCCACCCCCGCAAGATAGACGCCCCATGCTCAACGCCTCTCCTCCCGAACCTTCCCCCTCTTTCTTCCCCACCCCCGCCACCCCCTTCCTGTTCGTTCCTCCTCCTCCTCCTCGTCCCCCTCATCCTTATCCTCTTCCTCTTCCTCCTCCTCCTCCGCCTCCGCCTCCGCCTCCGCCTCTGCCTCCGCCTCCGCCTCCGCCTCCTCCTCCTCCTCCTCCTCCTCCTCCTCCTCCTCCTCCTCCTCATCCTCATCCTCATCATCATCCTGATTCCTCATCATCATCCCGATTCCTCATCATCATCATCCTCATCCTCATCCTCATCATCATCCTCAGCATCCTCATCCTCATCCTCATCCTCATCATTCTCATCCTCATCCTCATCATCCTCATCCTCATCCTCATCCTCATCATTATCATCATCAGCATCATCATCCTCATCCTCATCCTCATCTCCTCATCCTCATCCTCATCCTCATCATCCTCATCCTCATCCTCATCATCCTCATCATCATCTCATCATCCTCATCCTCATCCTCATCCTCATCCTCATCCTCATCCTCATCCTCATCCTCATCCTCATCCTCATCCTCATCCTCATCCTCATCCTCATCATCATCCTCAGCATCAGCATCAGCATCAGCATCAGCATCAGCATCATCAGCATCATCATCATCATCATCATCATCATCATCATCATCATCATCCATCATCCTCATGCTCATGCTCATCCTCATCCTCATCCTCATCCCATCAGCATCAGCATCAGCATCATCATCATCATCATCATCATCAGTCGTCGTCGTCGTCGTCGTCGTCGTCATCATCATCATCATCATCATCATCATCATCATCATCATCATCATCATCATCATCATCATCATCATCATCATCATCATCATCATCATCATCATCATCATCATCATCATCATCATCATCATCATCATCATCATCATCATCATCATCATCATCATCATCATCATCATCATCATCATCATCATCCTCATGCTCATCCTCATCCTCTTCCCCTTCGCCTTCTGCCGCGCGAAATGCGGTTGATCCTCCGCGCCCCCGCGCGGGCCCCCCTTGGAGAAGGGCAGCTCCCCGTCACCCCCGGCCGCTCCCGTCCCGGGGCCCTCGGCGCCTCTGGCGCGGCCCCTTGGCAAAGGACAGCCGCCCGCCCCCCTGTCATCGTGCCTGTGGGCGGCGATCTCGCCGCCGCCGCCCCCCTCGATCGCGGCCGTCGTGGCCGTCGCCGTCATGGCCGTGGCCAGTGGTGGTGGTCGTCGCCGTCGTGGCCACCAGGGAGCGGAGCAACGGACCCTGCCAGGGGGGGTGGGGGGGGCTTGCCCGGGGGGGGGACAACAAGGCACTGACGCCGCCTCTCCCCGGAGCTCCCCTGGGGCGCATGCTGACCAAAATTTCGAAGATAATCCATCCGTGGTGATGAGTTCTCTCCAGGCTCTCCAAGACGAGCAATTGCAACATCGCGACAAGTGACGACCAGATGAACCCCATCTTTCCGCTGCATTTTTCGAGCTGGATCGATATGATGGCCCAATGGCCCGAAACCCGGCGAAAACGCCAGCAATAAAAAGAATGCAGCGCCCGGATCTCAGGTTCCCTTCCTCCTCTGACGGCCGGAAAGGCCCCCTGCTGGCGCGCGCGCTCGACCAGAAGCTTCGACCCCACCGGGACGGGCTGCTCATCCCGAATCGTTTTTTGACGGCCCCCGGGCATGGCGACGGCCCCCAGAGGCCGAAAACGGCCAAAGCCATCCCGCCGTTTTTATTTTGGCGACGCGAGCAGGTCTGCGGAGGCGGCAGGCGCTGCAGCGGCGCCGGCCGTGCGCGAGTCAGCCGGGCCCCAGCTCGGCGACCCGCTGCTCCAGCTGCTGGACTCGCCGGTGCGCGCAGGCAGCGACGGCACCGGCGCCACGAGCGAGGGCAGCTGGTGCTTTGGTCGCCTCGCGGCAGAGCCTGGCGGAGGCTGGCGTCGAAGGGCCGCGGCCAAGCTTCGACCACCCAGGTCAAGCCGCTGCTGGCGTGGACGACCTTGGCCGACGGCGACTTCGACGTCGACGCTGTCCTCAAGGGCTTCGAGGAAACAGTCGGTCTCTCCAACTACGGGCGCGAGATGGGGCCGAAGGAGCCGAGATGGCCCGCGCCCTGGGCACGTGCCTGAAGGTGTCTGAAGGGCTCCAGGATGCAGGCGCGCCGCGTGGAGCTGCGCCCGACCTGGCGGACCGGCAAGCTGGACGCGGACGCCGACAGCGTCTACCAGACGATCAAGGAGCGGCTGCAAGAGTTCAAGGAGGGCTCGCTGGAGAAGCAGCAGCGCCTGAACAGCGGGTGGCGGACGCTGTCGCGGGGCAAGATGTCGGCGCTAGACTTCAAGACGTGGCGCGGAGCCCACAAGGTGCTGCTGAAGCTCGAGGAGGCCGAGAACTCCGCCAAGGCGCTCGTCGGCGCCGCGATGTGCGAGAGTGGGCCCGGAGGTGGAGGCGGCGGGCGCAGGCGCGCCAAAGACCCCGACGTGGCCCCCGTGAACGGGGACGGCGGGGCGGCGCAACCAAGGCCTGTTACGAGTTCCGCGACAAGGGCTCGTGCTCGAGCGGCGAAGCTTGCAGATTCTCGCACGACAGGAGGGTCTTGAGGCCGACGCGGCCAAGGGCGGCGGCGGCAAGGGCCTAAAGGACGGCGAGGGCGCCCGCCGAGGTCGAGAGCTCGCTGGCCCCTCGCGTCCGCGCGCGGATGAAGGAGCGAAGAGCGGCAGGCTGGTGGCCTACGAGGGCGAGGTACCCAAGCGTCGCCACGTCGGCAAGGCGCTGGCGGTGGAGAGTAGCTCTCGGCCGCGACGGTGCACGTGTACCGCGCGACGGTGGACGGGAAGCTCCAGGTGGTCTGGGCGACGGCGCACGAGAGCTTGCTGGGCGCCGACTACCAGAAGCAGTTCGAGGAGACGGTGGAGGCGAAGCGCCCGCTGGGCACGGCGGAGCTGAACAGGGGCGCGCTGAACCACGAGGCGGCCAACCGCCTGGCGCGAGCGGGCTACTGGCTGGACGCTCGCCCTCCGACATCCCCTCGAGCCGAATGTCAGCTCTGCTGGCGGCGTGCGAGCCGCTCGCCGAGCTGAAGCTCAGCAGAAGTCCAGGCGCAGGCCCGCCGCGCGCCTTGCTGCGGGAGGCTCTCGCAGGCCGTCGCGACCAGGGCCGGCGCGCCCTGTCAGGTGGCGGCCGGCATTGACATCGAGAGGGCAGACGTACGGGCAGTTCCGGGACCTCTGCAAGGCCAAGGACCAGACCTGGCTCCGCTAATTGCCTGCTCTTCGAGGTGCTGCGGCCGGCGGGAGGACTCGTTGCCATGCCGTGCTCCCCGCGGAACAGCCTCGGGTCGCGTCAACGCGACGGCGCCGCGCTGGCCCTCGCGTCGTTCACGATGGACGCCCTGGAGCACTTCGACGCCGCAGGGTTCGTTCGAGGGCCCCCGCTCGCACTGGCTGCTGGCTGGCAAGGGATGGCAGGCGCGGTTCGGCACGCCGGACAGGCCGAGCGGCCGCTGGGCGCACGTCCAGCCGGACGGGCGCATAATTTGGCTGCCCCAGCCCAGACGAGGAGCCGCCGGCCATGCAGGAGCCCTACACCATCATGGGCAACTCCGACCTGCAGCTGCTGGGCGCGCAGTGCAGGCGGGGCGCGGTGCGGCCTCCAGGCTGCGGCGGTGGCGTGGAACTGGAGGCGACGGGCTTGGCTCGCCATGTCGGGGCGGCCCACTCGCTCGAGGGGCCGAAGATGCCGCGCGAGCCTGTCGCCGACATCACGCGGAGCATGGACCAGCATAGTGAGCTTCGAAGGGTCTGGTGGAGCGGAATGGGAGGCGCCTGCCAGCAGCCGCGGCGGTGAAGCAGCGGGGGGCCGAGCGGGCCAAGAAAGCGACTTCGACCAGGTCTGGATTCTGGCCAACTGCTTCCTCTTCACGGACCTCAAGGAGAGTCCGCGGCAGAGCGTTGGCTACAAACCGCAGGTGCTGAAGGCCGCGGGCCGCGCGGGCGAGCGCGCGGGGCCCTGGCACCAGAGCGCCGACGAGCTGCAGACGCTCGAGGAGGTCGTGGCACTCACGGCCGAGGCGTTCTGGATCAAATGCTCGCCGCGTACGGTCACGCGCGGGTTCACGCGCGACGTGGCGACGACTGGCTTGCCCGCGCGCGGGCCGCCCATGTGGCCGAAGGGCCTCAACTCGCGAGGGGCGTCGACTGGGGACAGATGGGCGTTTCCAACGAAGGAGCACGTCAGCGGCCGGCGCCGTCGGACGGCGGTGGATCAGCTGGCGTCTCGTGATGTTCGTGGACTTCATCCACTAGTGCCAGGGCGTCAATGGGGAGCTCGTTGGCTGCGTGTTCATTTCAGGCATGGGCGGCGCGCGCGGGTTCAACCCCCTGGTCAACACCGAGCACGCCAAGCAGGCATTGGCAGTGCTGGCCGATTGCGGGCGCTACCTGCCGGAGCTGCCGCAGCTCGGTCCAGCGACTGAGCCGTTCGACGTCCAATTCGGGAGCTCCTTAGAAGCTGCCAAGGAGCTCCTTCGAAGCTGACATACAGCCCCTTAGAAGTTGCCAAGGAGCCGCTTCGAAGCTGCCAAGGAGCGTCTTAGAAGCTCCTTTTGAACTTTTGGTGAAGCTTCAAAAACTACACATGGGGAGTGTATCGATTAACCGGGGAGCGGACAAGTTTACCGGGGGAGCATTTTTTTCTGTGCTGTCACTGGGGCCTTCGAGGAAGCTCCCCATGGGGCCACGAAACGTTTGAGGGATGTGCCGAAATGGGCGGGGCAGTGCCATGCGGGCGCTGCCACTGGGGCCTTCGGCGGAGCTCCCTTTGGGGCCACGAAACGCATGAGGGGTGTGCCGAAACCGACGCTGCGGTGCCGTGCGGGCGCTGCCTCTGGGGGGCCCTAGGTGGAGCCCCCCCATGGGGCTGCGAAACGTGTGAGAAGTGTGCCTGAGTGGGCGCGGCGGTGCCACGCGTGCGCTGCCATTGGGGCCTTCGGTGGAGCTCCCTATGGGGCCACGAAGCGTGTGAGGGGTGCGGTATTGCCCAGCCAGCTGACTGTTCTGACCGGCCGCGCAGGCTGCAGCGGCCTACTTGTGGCGAAGCACGCGCGATGCTGGCTGCGCCTCTTCCCGTTTCTCGTGTTTAGTTTTGTTCGGCGGCGCCTGAGTCCCTCTCAGGTGCTTCTGTTCGGGACTCAAGCTGCCCGCGCTTGGTCTGGGCCCTGGCTCCGTTCGGTCTGGCCTCCGCGGGTGTGTCTGTGCGTATGCCGAAGCGTTGGTCCTCTTACAATGTGATGCGTTTTTGCTTCAGGGCTCGGAGCCTCAGGGCACCGAATCATTAGATGCCTCTTGGCGTCGCCCCGAGCATGCAGTAGCGAACGTGGCCCCGTTCAAAGGGGTGGGCGCAACCTGGCTCTGCTCTGCTGCGGTGGACGGACTGCGTCCGCCCTGAAGCTGTGTCGAGGAGTGAGGAGGAGGAAGAGGAGGAGGATGACGAGGAGGAGGAGGAGGAGGAGGAAGAGGAGGAGGAGGAGGAGGACGAGGAGGAGGAGTGAGGAGGAGGAGGAGGCGGAGGAGGAGGAACGCGGGGCACTGTCTTTTCAAAAGGAGGACCCAACACCACAGGATGGTTGGAAGAAGCGATAAAAAACTACCAAGCCCGATTCAAAGGTGATCAAGCCGAATTAGTCCAAATCAAGCCCTGGATTAAGCTGGATTGCCAACCTCCTGTCGCGATCTTTTGCACGATGCGAGCATGGCTGAAAAAAACCCTGCCGATGTGCGGTCCTGAGTGGCGCTCACCCGCGTCGAAGCCAGCGTTGCAGAGGCCCGCCGCGGGGCGCGGCTCTGGCCGCGACGACTCCGCGCCCGAGCGCTCTGTGCCCGCGTACGAGAAGCGCACCTTCGAGGCGGGGATTTGTCCACAACCACCGCCCAGGGGGGATCGATATTCGGGGGCTCGGCGAGCGGTGGGTATGGGTATAATCGGGCATGGGGCGGGGGCGTACATTTATAGATACATACTCTGGGTTTCTTAATCAGCGTGGGGGGGATACGCCCCCGACGGGGGTCAACCTCGCCTCGTCGTCGCGCCGCGACGGGGGTCGGAGCGCCTTCGGTGCGCGGTGGCTGCCCGCGACTGGGGTCGATGTGTGGCTGTCGGCGGGGGTGACGCCCCCCCGACGCTTATTAAGAAACTCGGGGTATAGATCTACCAGCCCTTGAGAAGCTCACAGATCCACCGAAGTAGTTCATCACAAGTCGTTCCAGCATGGGACGGATAAATTCTAACAGTGAATCCGCCGAGCCCCGCTTGCCAGGGGTTCAAAGGCGTGCGAGATGATTGGCTGTGCCCCTCCCCCTTTCCCCCTGCCCTGGGACCCAACATCCAATTAGAGGGGGAAGGGCCCCCGGGGGCGGCCCAGGGAGAGAGGCCCATGAGGGGGTGGGTGGGTCTCCAAGCTCATCAACGCTCCCCCATGGCTCCTGGAGCCTCCATTTCGACACTCTGTGGTCTCCAAGATGCCTAAGAATCGATCTACGCTTGCTCGAGCAAGGTTCCAACACTCGGAGGAGTCCTGGAAGACTACCAATATATCCTTAAACTGCCCAAGAGGCGCCAAGACGCCCCAAGAGGACTCCAAGACGACCCCCGAGAGGGCCCCTAGACGCCAGAATCGTCCCAATCCCTTGGGGACGCGTGGAACTTGAACGTATTCGCATGTTTGGTCTCAGCAGCGTCCAAGACGGCTGAAGAGGTCCCCATTCGCTCCAAGACGGCCCAAGAAACCCCCAAGAGGGCCCGAATACGGCCCAAATGGGTCCCAAGACGGCCTAAGAGGTGCCCAAGTGGCGCCCAAGATGGCTCACAAGAGCCCCAACCTTGCCCCAAGAGGGGCCCAAGAGAGGCAATTCAAACTTATATTTCGAGCCCTCCGCCCCAAGAGCACCCCCGAGACCGCCAGCAGGCGCCCAACAAAACTCCCAAGAGGACCGAAGAGGCCCCAAAGACGCCCCCTGAGGGTCCCAAAGAGGCCCCCACAGGCCTCACCCGTTGACTTCATCCCTTTTCTGGGGGTCGGTGGAATGGCGTAAGCCCTCTTGAACAAGTTTTAGCAATGTGGATCGACCAGAGATGAGATGCCGACAAAGACACGTCTATGCCAGAGAATGCGAAGGACTGCAAAGCAGGCAAAGGAATGCATTGAATGCGAGGGAAGCGCAATGCAAAGAAATGCAGGGATAGTCAGCTGCGAGGGCAAAGCAACGCGAAGCATTGCAAGCAGAAGTTAACGAAGTAAATGCAAGGCGAAGGAGAGCAACGCTCACCAATGCAATGTGAATCACGAAGCAGGACATGCGTGCACATGCAGCGCAACGCAAGTCACTGTAATTCAAGGTAATGCAACGCACGAGCGTGCCAGTGGCCGAACGAATCTGAGGGACACGAGATCCCAGGGATAATGTGTTCTCATAAGAGCCAAACCAGTGGTTCCAAGGGGGGGCAAGATATGCCCGATTCGTCCAAGAAGATTCCACTAGAGCTCAGGGGGAGGCTTGAAGGATGGCTCAAGAAAAAGAGACCTTAAGAGAGATATAAGGAGGCTGCAAGACGAGATTTCCAAGGGTCTCCGGGAGGCGTCTTGGACTTCGTTGGGGGGCCTGTGGGACAGATTCGGGGGGGGGCCTCTTGAGGGGCTCTCGGAGCTGCACCCGCCAATATAGTGCCCCACGGCCTCTCTTGACACCCTCTTGGGATTCTCTTCGGATTCGTTTGGGCCCAACTTGGAAGCCCCTTGGGCCGTCTTGAAACTCTCTAGGGCCGCTGTGGGGCCCTCTTGGGCCGCCTCGAGACCCCTTGAGCCGTCTCGGGGCCCCCTCGGGCGCGTTTTGGGCCGCCCTGGACGCTGCGAAGATGCAAGAAGCGAGCGTGCTAAAAATATACGTGCTCACAGTGGAATGGGACGACGTTGACCTCCTGGAATGGGACGACCCTACCTGCCTGTCTGTCTGTCTGTCTGTCTGTCTGTCTGTCTGTATGTGTATATGTGTACGCGTATATACACACGCATATATCTGTATGAGTATGTGTGCACGGATATGTACATAGGTGTATACAAATAATTTTGTGTGTGAGAGAGAGGGCGCGTGTGTTTGCACGTGTGTGCATAGGTGTATATCGATGTGTGTGTGTGTGTGTGTGTGCGTGTGTGTGTGTGTGAATATGTATGCGTGTATGCATGTAGATCGTAGATACCTGTAAAAGTACATGTGCTTGCATCGGTTTACGTGTATGTAAATGTATATGTATATGTGTATGTATGCGTATGTGTATATTAATATTATGTCTAGCGCCCACTCGCCTCAACGACGCCAGCCTCCTTGCGTCGGCGGCGCCTCGAAAGGGCCGCTTTACTCCAACCCACGATGGCCCTCCTGCTAAGGTTCGCCTGGACGCACCACGCGCGCTGGTGCTCGTCCATCATCACCACGTGCCCGCGCTTGCAGGCTGACAGGGCGCGTTCCGCGATCTCCCAGGTGAGGAACTCGCAGAACGCGTAGAGGTTGTGGCCGCTGTCGTTGCGACGGAGGACGCCGCACCGCACCGTGCCCTCCTGCTTCAGAGCGTAGTCGAACGCGAGGCAGAGCTCGACGTCCGATGCCCAGCGCGGGAAGTTTGTGACAACAAGGGTCATCTGCCGGTGCTCCTGCTGGGACAGCGGCGCCTGGGGGGTAGGGCGCGGCCAAGGAGGCGGGCGCGAGGATACTGGCCCAAAAAACACCGGGTACCCTTCCAAGAATCACGCCGCCTGAACTGGAGGCGCTGGGACACATGACAATACTGCAGACTCGCGTCCCTGAGGTCACAATCCCTTGTAAATTACAACGCGTGCGCGCTCCCGAGGTCACGATCCATCGTAGTGACCTCGCTGTCGCGCCTCTGAGGCCACAATCTCATATCAATTAAGACGCGCTCGCGCTCCCCAAACGAGCGCGCGACGCTCCGCAAAACGAGTTCCGCAAGACGGCATTTCCAACGCTTGCGGACGGGCAACGCCTCCGATCGGATCACGTGAGTTTCGCTGGAACTCGCGCGGCCTCCAATTGCACCCGAATGAAATCGAACCCAGCTGTTACTCGATCTTGCTAGACGCGGTGCAAGGTTTTACAAGGTCTGGTTGGACCGAACACCGCATTAAACAAACTTATTGGAACCGGTACCAGTCCCTATGGGAACACATTGGCACTGGCGCAAACTCACTCGGGCCCCCTAATTTCGGATACCAGCTCCAAGAAGAACTTATAGATCCTGGTTTTGACCTGGATCTAACACTCGACTTTCTATGTACGACCCCGTGTAAGTCTTTGTCGGGAACTGGCGCCAATTCTAATATGTCCCCATTGGGGATGCCACTCGCCTATTTGTCACGGCACCGACTTCCGTGCGATCTCGCCACATATGGCACTACTCACAAGTACGTTCGGCGCGGGGTCCGACCCCCCCCCGGCGCCGCGGCACGCTGGCCCGAGCGCGCCAGGACAATTGAAACACAAAAGAAAACGAAAAGACACTGTATGACACAGTTGGACCCGACAAGCAAATTCAGGCGAGCCCTCCTTCCCCCCCGTGGAGGGGGAATCAAAGGGGGAAGAACGATTTTACAACGAGCGCGCGACTCTCCGCAAAACGAACTTGGCTGGGCGGCATTTCTGACGCTTGCGGGCGGGTATCTCGGATCCGGCCATGTGGATATCGTTGCAACTTTCGCGGTTCCCAATGGCACCCAATATACATTGAATCAAACCTTTCTTGTACCAAATGCTGCTGGCACTGGTAAGACTTCATACGGAATTTGATTGGACATAGTACCGCCTGCAATGGGATCTTCTTGGAACTAGCGCCAGCCCCTTCAGGGTCATGTTAGCGCTGGCGTAGTATCTTTCGGGTCCTTTTGTTTTGGCGCCAACCCGAATAAGATCTAGTGGATCTGGTAACATCTCCAATTCGAACCACTTGGATCTGGCGCCCGCTCCCATCGGATCCGACTGAGGCATGCACAGCCTCCTATACCACTTTACTGGCGTTGGCTCCACCGCCAACGAGATCGTATTGGGGGCATGCCGCCAGCCTTCAGGGATTGCAGTGGAACTTGGTCTGTGACCCCCCGTGGCAATGCCACCAGCTCCAATGGAAATGCTCTTGACCCCAGCACCAGCTCCTGCACTATGTTACGATGCCTGGTACAACCTACCACTGATCCGCTCGCTCCGTGGCGCGTTGGCCCGAGAGCGCCAAGACGCTACTTGCGCTGGGGAGATCGCCGGGGAATCTTCGGGGAACCTTGACGGGGTCATCTGGAAACCCGCGGGGCATCATGAGGGGGCGTTAGGACTCACTGGGAAATCGCCGAAGAGAGATTGGGACATCACAGGGGGATCATCGGGGAATATTCGGGAAGTCTTCGGGGCATCATCGGAAGAGGGCATCGTTGGGAAATCATCGAGGGATCGCTGGGGGGTCTCGCAGGGGATTGTCGGGGGGTCGGGCCATTGGAACATCATCGAAGAATCATCGGAGAATCTTCGGGACATGTTCATGTAATCATCGAACAACAATATGGGAACCTTCGGGGGGCCTTCTGGGAATCTTCCGGGAATCATCGGGGCGTCGTCGGGGAGACTTCGAGAACCCTCGGGTAATCACTGAGGAATAATACAAGTGGTCTTCAGGAACTCACCGGGGAATCTCCTGAGAACATTCGGAACATCATCAGGGAATGCTCGGCGGATCATCGGGGAAACTTCGGGAACTCTTCCGGAAACTATCGGTGAACATTCCCGTGATCCTCGCGGAATCCATGGGGGCGCCATCTGGGAATTCTCGGGGCGAACGAACGAAATGCCATGCGCCGGAGCGCGCGAGCAGAGGAGGACAATGCCAACCAAAACTCACCGCTTTGCGGGAGCGTCTGCACGTCGGCTGTCTCTTAATTCCACCAGCCCTCTGGGCGTAGGTGGTCTAGGGTGTTTCCTCTTCCACCCCCTTCTTCCCCTTTGGGGAGGGTTTTACCCCTCCCCCTACCCCCTCCCCTGGACCTGGACGGGGCGTTCCGCGAGCGGTCGGAACGTCTAAGATGGCTCAAGTTGGCTCCAGGAGGGGCTCTGAAAGCCCAAGATGACCTCGAAGATGGCTCAAAATAGCGCAAGATGCCTCGAGGTGTCCCCCAAGATGCCCCAAGAAGCCCCAAGACCGTTTCAAAACACCTCCACGTGGCCAAAGGAGCTCCCCGAGGAGGCCCCGATTAAATTATAATTCTTCGAGAGCCCAAGAAAAAATAATGTTTCTGGGTTTCCCGCCATTTCGCTTCCGATGGCCTTCCGAAGCTTCAAGATGACTCCAACAGAGCCCAAGAGGGTCCCATGAGGGGCCCAAACCCCAACACGACCCCAAGAACGCCCAAGCGCGCTCCATGAGCGCTCCAAGAAACGACTTTAGGGCGCCCGACGGGCAAGGCCAATTAGGGCCCCCCCCCTGTTTGATCGATGCCATCCAAAACTGTTCCAAGAGAGTTCCCAAGGCTCCGAAATGCGTCCCAAGAGGGCCCAAAAGAGGTGCCCAGACGGCCCCAGGATGCGTCCAAGACGCAACCCAGAGGCTCGCAAGAAACCCCCAAGAGGCCTCAAGAGGATCCCTGAAGCACCCCAGACGCTCAAAGATCTCCCTGGGCCCACCAAGAAGCCCCCCACACGCCCCAAGAAACCCCAAAACAAGCTTCCAAGGAGACTCCGAGAGGCACTCAAGACGCTCATGGCTCTTCTGCTCGCCGTTTTTCCTCCTCCTCCTCAGACTGACAGTGGCTCCCAGCGAATCGTGTTTGGATGGGCCAAGCACGCCCCAAAACGCCCCACAACGACAAGGTATCCATATGTGCTTGTGTATTTCTGTTTCCCTATATGCTGACATACTTCCCTTATCGTGACACTTTGCCTGGGCATCGGTTATGGATGGGCTGGCGGGGATATATTTTTTTGGCTCGCGGCTCCAAGGCGAGGGACATGGAGCGAGCACAACGTCCGGGGCGCGGTACGTAGATAATTGGCGCGAGATTGCCGCAGACTCCAGCGGACAACACACGCAGCGGCACATGCACATGCCAGGGACAAAATGCCCCTCATTGAGACGCCATTCAGCGTCTGCTGGTGACCGGCCCAGACAGCCCGGCTGGTGGGGAAGCAAAAGGCGCGGCAACCGGCAACGGAACGGGGGGGAGAAGTCGCCCTTGCGGCGCCAAGCTCCAGCCGCACCGCAATCGGAAGCGAGGCCAAGACGGACAGCAAGGCACTGTAAAAACCGCGGGCAGAACGCGAATCCGAGTGGCCAATGACCAGGCAGAACCCACGAACTCGTGGGGATACTTGTTTGGTTCAAGGCGAGGGGCAGGGAGCGGGCACAACGTCCGGGGCGCGGTGCGATGTAAATTGGCCGCAGTGGCGTATGCACATGCCAATGACAAAATGCCCCTCGTTGAGACGCAAGACAGCGCCAGCAGGTGACCGGCCCAGACATCCCGGCAGGTGGGGAAGCAAAGGCGCGGCGACCGGCAGCGGAACGGGGGGGGGAAGTCGCCCTTGCGGCGCCAAGCGCCAGCCGAACCACATTCGGAAGCGAGGCCAAGACGGACAGCGGGGCACTGTAAAGCCGCAGGCAGAACGCGGATCCGAATGGTCAATGACCAAGCGAAGCCCACGTGCGTGCACACAGGGACAGGCCGTCCAAGACCGCGGAAAAGAGAGGGGGGAGAGTGCGAGCGCGAGCGACTAGCTAGACTCACTGCAGCACCCCGGGTAAACGATGGTGCGGCGAAAGTGGCCTGACTCATCAAGGCTCACTGAAGCTGAGGTGTGGCTGATCCGCGTCAGAGCGCCATCCAATAGAAAAAGACCGCTGGTGTGCGCTCACGAGGCTGAGCCACCTCCAGACGGTAGCCACTGCGTGCACATCGTATCCGACTCACGCAGTTCGGGGGCACCACGATGCAATGTACTGACGGGGGCTGGTAGCTGGGGCTGCTCTGAAAGGAAAACGACCACGAACTGCAGAAGGCTGAACCATTCAATGCAGGGCCACTCACTTGACGAAGCCAGACACCGGGTGTCACCGAGTGTATGGCTGACGGCCGCACCCACTCCACACCTGCCACGCTGCCCGTGCGGAAGCCGAATACACCGACGCCGGCGGCGAAACGATGGCTGGCGGCTACCGAGCTGCTGGGCCGTACCGCTCGTAGGCGGTATGCTGACGGCGGGCCAACACGTCCCCGCGGTAGAACCATGGCCAGGTCGGCGACGAACCAGGGCGGGTCTCAGGCAGGAGGGGGGCGCAGCCAAGCCGCTGAGCACCGGTGTCACTGAGGGGTGGCGGGGCACCATCCAATAAGAGACCACTGGTGTGCGTGTACGAGGCCGGCAACCACCAGCAGGTAGCCGGTGCACTTACATCGTATCCGACTCACGCGGTTCGGGGGCACAACGATGCAATGTCCTGGCGAGGGCTGGGGCTGTTGCTGCGCCGAGAAGAGCAGAACGAACTTGGACCGCGGAAGGCTGAACCACTCGATGCGGGGCCGCTCACTTGACGGAACCAATCACCATGTGTATGGTGGACAGCCACGCCCAGCACCTGCCACGCTGCCCATGCAGAAGCCGGATACGTCTGACGCCTGGG